ATGAGATGTTATTATGTGCCACCGAACATCGAATCAGAACTGACCCGTATAACTCTCCATTGGATTTTCAGGGGCAGTAAATCTTATTTTGTAATGTAAACTTGACTTTTTGTGAACATCAGTTATATTACAATAACTTTATGATTTTTTAATCTTTCTATAAAATATTACTTACAATTATTCCCTGGTGTGATATTATCTTACTTTTCTATAAAAATTTAGAAAATCTGTGCTCCTATTTTCTTATCACCTCAAAGTAGCTAAGTAGAATATGTTTGAACACTCAGAGTGTATTTGTTAAATTATTTCTTCCTCATTGCATTCCTTACACAATTACAACAGTGTTTTTTGCAACACCTACAGCCAAGAATGTAAACTAACATGTATTGCTTCAACAGGTTTTTAATATATATTTGATTTCAGGAATGAATCTGAACTGATGGTTTAAACTAATGAAATAGTGTTTTTGGATAAAACAGAGGAGTCAATTGTCAACACATCCATTCAGAAATAACTGGTTAAAAGCTAGTCTTCCTTTCTTTTAAAACAGTACAATTAAATTGCAAATCATTATCAAATATGTTGTGCTTAAATAAAATTTTTTCCTCTTATATGAGTTTTATTCTGTAGCTCTAAAGCAAATTTGTAAGATGATATCTATCTTGAATATAATTTATTTCCGTTGAAATACCAAGGAACTCTCAATAATTGCATGTATATTAGAATATTTCAAATTATGTAACTAGTATGGTATTTATAAAGTAGATGAATAATGCAAATGTTTACTTATCTGTTAACAAAAAAGTTTGGAAATTTGAATTCACCAAGAAATGTCATAGATAGTGAATAATGCTGCTATGAACATTAGTGTACAAATCTCAGTTTGTGCCTCAGTTTTCTTTGTCTCAGGGTATATTCTAAGTAGTGGAATATCTGGGTGATATGGAATTTTTATGTTCAGCTTTTTGCGGAAGTTCCACACAAGGATAAATATTGTATAAAATTATAAAATGAGTATAAGGATCTAAGAGGGGTGGGAGAGGGTAGCAGCAGAGGGATGAGGATGTGCAGGTGGAGAGAGTGATTAATCATGGAGTTATACAATTTGATGGTGGCAGTGTTAGGGAAATGGAAAGAATTTGTTCTTAAAGACAATGTATTCAAATTTTGTAAATAAATTAGTAAAATTTTTTTTTTAAAAAAAGAAATGCCTTAGGAAAAAAGTCTGATTGTCTACCTCTAGCTCTATCAAGCTGCAATTTAATTTATACTGAGGTATGAATAGTTAACATCAAGTTCTGCCTCTGCTGAATGAATATTAAAGGAATGATGAGCCTGGTAGTTAACCTGTTTGCCTTCAGTAATTGAGTACAAGAAGCCAACTAAGTGTTGGATTATCCAATAAGTAAAGCCATCACAGATTTATAGTATTTATTTATCTATTGATCCATAGTGAATGTTTCACCCCATCAGAAATTTTATTTCTAGATATGGCTGGCATCTCCTCTCTCTACCAGCCTCACAGCACCTTCCTCTGGTATCAAAGGGTCCTTTCAACTTTACAGTCTCGACAAGGATGGATTACGCAGTAAGAAAGGTAAATTTGGGATTCCTTTTTTTACCTACTAATCTGCAGAAACAATTTCACTTAGAGTTTATGAGCAAAAATTAATGATCAAGTGCTTACCTTATGGAGTAATTAATACTTCAGTTAGCCCCAACAGAGAACAAGTATTCAAGGGAAACAATCCGGATAGCAGGAAGCTTCAAAGACAAGTTGTTTTCCTGTATGTTCTTTATTCAAACTTATCATCTGAAGCTTTTACATGATGCTGTGTCTCCAATGACAATGAGTTAAAACATTTTCCTTGGAAATGATGAGATTAATATATAATTTTAAACTAGGGGAACTTTTTTAAAATCAAGGTTCCTCTAAAGATGAGAAACGAATTAATAGTTAATGTATAAAAGTACCAAGTAAACTTTTGTCCACAATGTCCATATAGTCATAGACTCACTCTAAAAAAAATAGTATTTTAATTACTTCCTTTGTTGGCATACTATGTTACATTGTGTTGATTGTTGTGAAATTATTCCTTAACTCATGGACACGATAGAATTGAACTCTCATTATCTTCAACTTTTCCCCCATTTAGTTATAACTTTTTTCTTTTTTATTTTTATTTATTAATTTTAATGAAAGTTTACAGAGATTTTGGATTTCCATTTACTCGTTGTTGCACTTTTCTCCCTGCCCACTCTCACCCCCAATTCGTTCTTCTCTTTGAAAAGTAAAAGAAAAATTATTTATTGTTATATAATTTTTCTTTCCAAGTCCATTCCACTATGCAGTCTTCATTCTGGATTCTTATCATGACAATAATACCTAGTCATATATCCTTTTCAAACAGTTCTTTCACTCATCTGTTTCAATGCAGTATACATTATTTATTCTCTTTTTCAGTCTCTCCTCAACCCCGATGTAAGTCCAGTTTTACAACAGTGGCACTATGCAATATTTGTCCTTTTGTGACTGAGATATTTCACTCAGCATAATGTCCTCAGGGTCACCCTTTTCATGTAATATTTTATGAGTTCCTTGTTTTTCAATGCAGCATGATATTCCATTGTGTGAATATACTAAAGCTTCTCCATTCATTTGTTGATGGGCACTTGGGTTGTTTCCAACTCTTTCTTATTGTGAGCAAAGCCACATTAAACATGGATGTGCATATATCTGCTTGAGTGATGGTTATGGTGTCTTTAGGGTATATTCCCAGTAGTGGAATTGCTGGGTCAAATGGTAGTTCTATTTGCAGCTTTTTGAGAAAGCACCGTGATCTTTAACTTTTTCACTGACTTACTTTTGCAAGTAGATCACCAGGACTTTATTCCTAGTTTGTCTTGGTCTAGAAGCTGCCCTGAATCATCTCTGTTATTTATCAACATGTAAGCCTTCACTGACTGGTTGATGATGACTGTACGTAGTATTCCTTGGACAGGAATGGACTATGGCTAATTGACTAGACGGAGAGAATTTGATTACTTAGCTGTTACTGCCAGAAAGCAAATTAGAGAAAGGTTGAATCTTTCCATTATTACAGCACTGCTCACCTGGTGCTTAAGGACAGGAAATAGTAAAATAAAATTAAATCACTCTTTTTATCTCTCTCGTACTAGCAATAATTTCAATGTAGTTCATCAAATAGGCAGATCTTGCCCCTCAGGCTGGTTTTCCTTGAACATCCTTTTACTTTCTCCAAAAAAAGTTATTAAAACAATGACTTATTGTGTTTCCTATTTATAGTCTTTAAAGTGTATTCTTTTTATACACCATATACAATATTCCTAAAGAGATTATAAAAATAGAGAAAGTCTTCAATTAGTTTTGAGATGTTCTCAATGTATGATTTTAAAATATGTGATTATAAAGACAGTTCATATTAGTTCTAATATTTAAAAAATACCATTGTTGTCTTACTAACAGCTATTAGTTTATATTTAATGATTAATAGTGAAATCAAGACTAGTCAAAACCTTCTGTTATGAATGATAAATTAAATTACTTTTGAAAGCTATTTTCCCATAAAAATAGAAAAAACACAATACGAACAGTAAAATTGTAGAAGTGACTTACTTAAAAGGAAATTTAGAAGCATACTTTAAATAAGATTGGAACACACTCTAGTTGCTAATGTAAGATTTGGAGATTCCACTTTACCAAGAGACATATCGGGATAAACGTCTGGTTATCTACCTGTAAAATATGCTTGAGAAAACTTAATGGAGCACAGTTCTGTTGTGAGACACATGGAGTCTCTGTGAGTCAGAATTGACTTAGCAGTGACTAATTTTAGGGTTGTTTTTATAGTGTTTCTCTCAGTTGCCTGCTTTTGCCAGGTCTTTGCTATTTAGATTTTTAAATAACTTTTCTTTTTTTCCTAATAACATAATTCACTTGCTTCTCTCTTCCTCAAGTCAGACCCTAATGTGTCACACTTATTTTCTCGTTCTTACATAAAATGGTAAGTTATGATAAGATCTTCAGTTTCCTGGTGGAATGGATGGTGAACCTCCAGTTACCAAAGTGCCATAAGTGAGTCAGTTTGCAGTACTTACAGATACTGACTCTAAGTCAGCGAAGTTAGTTTAGAGTTTCTGAGCTCTGTCCTGCATGCTTTCCCAGGAAAAGCTACAAAGTGTAACTTTCAAGATAAGAGCATACAAAAATTTGCACTATGAGAGAGAAGTTGTGAACTTAGGTTTCAGGCTGAAGAGACATGTAAGCCAGATTCAGCCCACATTTTTGTATTTTTTATTTGTTCTGTTTTGTTTGATAGTCTGGGTAAATTATGTTAAAATGAGAATTTATTTCTACTGAAAAATTTGAAGGCTTAATCTTATCACACTCCAAAGTCTCATATGAGTAGCTCCTATTCAGTACCACTCTACTGTTTCTGATGTGTTCACATTCTTTACTCAAATCTTGAGGATTTGAGCTTTAACCATTTTTATGCTTTTGTCTCAGACAACATTATGGTAGTGCCTATAACAGCTGCTTAGTGGTTAATTATTGAATGAGTAAAATAATTTTTTATTTTGAGGAAACTCTATGGAGAAAGGACCAAAGCTATACAAATGTTTAGGTCTTTCATTCACAGGGTCGTTAAAAGCCGTATACAACTTAACAGCACTTAACATAACAAACAACAATGTGTATTAGTTTGAAAACTTTTAATATGATATAAATGTGTCTAGGTAACCAGACACTTAAAGAATGTATGTCTATTTCTTATTCATTTTTTAAGAACTTATGCCCCTGAGTCAACTGAACAGCTGAGAGAATGAATGAAAAGCAACGCAAATGGAACTCACAAACTAAGGTTGGGAATTTCATTTTTTCATTACATTTTTTATGCATAGATAGCTGTATTTATGTGTCTTTTAAATACAACTATCTTGAATATTTGTTCATCTCCCCCACATGACTTCAAAAGGAAATGACAAATGAGACCACTGTGATGGAATTTATTCTCAAAGGCTTCTCAGACATCTTTGAACTCAGGCTACTAAGCACCATCTCTGTCCTCTTCATCTACCTTTTTTCCCTCCTGGGGAATATGTCTATCATCGCAGCTGTGAACAGAGACAACCGCCTCCATACCCCCATGTATTTCTTCTTGAAGAATTTGTCCTTTTTGGATATGTGCTATACCTCAGTCACCATACCCAAGGCACTGATCAACTCACTCATGGAATCAGGAGTCATTTCCTTTCGGGAATGTGTGGCTCAACTTTTCTTGTTTGTAATGCTGTGTGCCTCTGAGTGCTTTTTGCTCACATCTATGGCCTATGATCGCTGTCTGGCCATTCATAAGCCCCTTCTTTATGGGGTCATTATGAATAGAAAGCTGTGTACAGAGCTTGTCATTGTGGCCTGGTTGAGCGGAGCTCTTTATGCCATATTTCACACAGTCAACACCTTTTCCCTCCTGTTCTGTGGGCCCAACATTATCGATCATTTCTTCTGTGATAGCTCCCCTATCATGAGACTCTCCTGCAGTGACCCTCATACTAATGAGGAAGTCGGATTTGTAGTGGGTGGGTGCATCATCCTGGGAGCCTTTGCCCTCACCATAATCTCATACGTTATTATCATCTCCACTATTGCTCAAATCCATTCTGCCAATGGGCGTTGGAAGGCCTTCTCCACTTGCTCCTCTCACCTCGCTACTGTCATTCTGTTTTATGTCACTGGGAGCTTTGCTTATTTGAGGCCTGCTTCCCATTACTCACCTACTCAAGGACGGCTAGTGTCTGTATTTTATTCCATCCTCACACCTAGCTTGAACCCTGTTGTCTACTGTTTGAGAAACAGAGACATGCAGGTGGCTCTGATAAAGCTATATCGTTCATCCAAATAAGTATTTTTATCTTGTTGATCATATTTTCTGAATCTTGTTCTGCACTCTCTTTATATTTCTTACTTACTCTTTTACAGCCATGAAATATAGAATTTGTATCTTAGCCACCAGAGCTCCCTCATAAAATAGCTGCTAAAATTATTATTTTTTGCCATGGAGTTTATGAATTTTCATTAGTTATTGACATTACAAGGAAGAAACACCTTCCATACATTGCCATTAGTTTGTCATTAAAGAAATTACATTTTGAAATTCCAAAAGTGCAAAAGATGTAATCTTAGATCTAATAACAGCATAAACACTATTATCAGGAATGGAATGCTAATTACATAGGAAGTTTATAGAATATGTAATATATCCTGAACATAACTACTAAATGCACAAAAAATATTTGTTATACCTTGTGCTTATTTTTATTTAAAAATATCAGATTCTCTTCCACATGGCCGAGTTGGCTGATTACATAGTTTATATCTTCTGCATCTTTATTAAATTTCTTTTGAGTTTACCTGTCCTTTGGTGAGTGTGGTGTGTTAAAGTCTCCTACCACTATGGTGAGCTCTGGTGGTCTTGTGAAAAGAAGCTGCACTGCAATCCTGAAGACACATGGTTCAAATACACCAGCTGCTTCACAGGAGGATGGATGATCTCCTCTTGTACAATTAACTGTCTCTGAAAATCCACAAGAGGGTCAGTTATGGGTTTGTTCTGATTCAGCAGTATCAAACACAACCACCAACTATTGTGGTGATGTCTATTTCTTTCCTCAATTCTATTAACCATTGTTTTAGGTATTTTGCAAGTCTGTCATTTGGTGAGCAGATGCTCAATTAAGGTTATGTCTTCTATTGTTCCTTTAATCATTATATAGTGTTCTTCCTTATTTTCTATGGTGGTTTTTATCCTGAGGCCTATTCTATCAGATATTAGCATTGCTACCCTTGCTTTTTTAGTGAATGCTATTTGCTTGGTATATTGTTTCCCAGCCATTGTTTTTCAGTCTACCTCACACCTCGTTTCTTAGATATATTTCCTGTAGGCAGTATATACAAATGTTTATCCATTCTGCTATTATTTTCATTTTAAGTGGTGTAATTAGTCCATTCATATTAAGTGTGATTTTGACAGGCCAGGTTTTATTGTTGTCATTTGGCTGGATAATATCATTATTGTAAAATTAGAAGAATAACTATTAAAATGCAAATGGAGATCCAAAGGCAAAAGGGTTGGGAGCAGAAGGCTTAGAGTAGGCAGGGGGCAGATCACAGGCTCACACATCTTAATGGGTGGAGGGAGCAGGTAAAATATATGGGAAAGATCTGACAGGGACCTGAAAAGACCTGGTAATGGTAGGTAAAATTCAATGAAGATTAATTTTATAAAGTACAATGTATAAGAATGATTGTATGAAGCACAATATGAATGAAGGAAAATATGAAACACAATGCAATACAAATTTTGTATGAAAAAATATAAAATTAAAAAACATAACAGCAAAAAAAATAAGCTTCTCAATTTATTCCCAATTTCCAGTTTATTTTACTTCAAATTGGAAGTAATACTTTGTGCTATTTTAATAGATTTTCATTTTCTTTAAGTTCAGAAGAGCCTAGAATGAAAAGCAAAGAATCTTTGTCTTCTAAGTAAATAATTAGTTTTAACAATAGTTTGTTTGTAACATACTGTCAAGTTAGGATTCACTCATAGATTACCTTAGAATTAATCTGGCAAGAGGCAGTAAATCTCACAAGAGAAGATTGCCCATCTTTCTCCTGCTGTATTAGAACTGTGTGCCTTTATAGTAGCACAACTCTTTACCACTAAGACACGAGAGCTTCCTAGTTTTCACAATCAATACACTTATTTTTATTGGTTAATATTTGACATGAGCATGTGCATGAAAATTCCCAGTTAATAAGATGAATTTATGGGAAGCTGTTTAACTTGTGATCTTGGAGTTGGAAGAACCATAGTACGTTCAAAGGTACTGGAATCAGCAAATGTTTGCAAATGTTTATGTTGACAATTCTGTTGAAATCGTAAGTAAATCACTTAATTCATTACTTATTGGTACTTTTAAGAAACTACTGACAGACATGTATGTACATAAATTGTAAGGTTTTTAAATTATAAAAAGAAATTTTATAAAATACATACTATTGATTAATAAATGACATTGTAGAAAAATTGGTGACAATGATTTCTTTGTCTCTTATTACTGTCTGCTAGGAACCAACTCAAAGCTGATCCTCCAGCAAGTTTTTGAGAGGCTATAAAACTCCTTTTTCCCATAGAAGGTGCTGGTGAATTTGAACTGCCAGAGAGTTACTGTGTTTGGATTAGAAGCACAGCTCTCTACAAACTCTATCAATGATTGCTTATTGATGTTATGAGATACCATTGAGTTAAATATTATTCATAGTAACTCAATGAACAATAGAGCTGAAATTTGCCCTAAATTGCACCATATTCATGATCTTTGCTTTGCTTGAGCTTATTGTTGTAGTCTCTGTCTCAATCCATCCTTTTAAAGATCTATGTCACTTTTTTACCTTCTACTTTTCCCAGTATGTTGTATTTTGCTAAGGAATGGACTTTCCAGACAATATGTCCAGAATATGTGAGATGAAGTTTCACCATTCTTGCCTTTACGGAGAACTCTAGCTGTACTTCAACTAAGAGAGATTTGTTTGTTATTTTAGCAGTTCATAGCACATTTAATATTCTTCTCAAATATAACAATTTAAAGACATCAGTTCTTCTTCAGTCTTCCTTAATCATCATCCAACTTGCAGATGCATGGGAAGCAACTGAAAATACTCTGGCTTGCCTCAAGTGCATCACAGAGTTTTCAAACTGATATTCTTTCTTTTTAGAACTTTAAAGAAGTCCTTGACAACAGTTGTCCCCAATGAAATACATATTTTGACATTTCACTGCTGTTACCAAGAATGTTGATTGTGAATCGAAGCAAAATGGAAAATGATTACTTGTATTTTAAAAATACCAAAGTTCTGGAATACTACTAGTAAACTAATATCCCTAGTTGTACAACATAAATAATTTACTACTAAACAAAAAGCCATATATTTCAACCCATAATCACTGACATAAAAGAAAAAAAAATACATTCTTCTTTTGTAAGGATTGTAACCTGGAAAACACTATGGAGAAATTTTACTCTGATAAAATTGCTGTTTTAGAACTTGAATGCACACAATCAATAAATGTTTTATGATTCATAATGGTGAGAGGGATAGATAATATGGAATATTTGTGTTTTGTGTTAATTATTACACAATATTATTGAGTAAATTTATAATAATAATGCTTTATTAGACAAACTAGAAAGTATTTTCCTTTGGATTTATTTTCTCTGTCTCTCATTTATGCATGTTTAGTCATGAACATACCTAGTACCTATCTATCTATTCATAAGAATACACAAATATATCCATAAACACATACACTATTGACATGGAAGCATCATTACTGGTATTAAATAACTCTTGCCTGAAAATAGAGAATAAAAGAGAGATGATGACTTGTGTTGTGTTGACTATTGAAAGATATTTGACCATATAGATCATAACAATTTATTATTAATAACGTTGAGAGAAACGGGAAGGAAAGAACACTTACTTAGCTCATTGGAAACCTAAACATAGATCAGGAAGCTGTTGTACAAATGTAACTAGGGAATATTGCATTGTTTAAAATTGGGAAGGTCTGAGTCAGGATTGTATCTTTTCTCCACAACTATTTAAATTGAATGCTGGGCAAATAACCTGAGAAGCTATGCTATATAAAGAAAAACATGGCATCAGGATTGGAGAAAGACTTATCAACAACCTGTGTTATACAAATAACACAACCTTGCTTAGTGAAGATGAAGAGTGATAGGGGAAATAAAATTACCTCCTTGTCGTTAGAATTTCTACTTCTCAGACAAAGCCCTCTCTCTAGTTCCAGCTTGTTCAACTACTATTGAAAAGCTGAACTGGCAAAGAGTAGAGGAGAGGAAGAGGAGAGGAAGATCCTGGATAAGATGGATTGACACAGTGACTGTGGTGAAGAGATGAAATGTGTCAGAAATGGTAATGTTGGCTCAGAATAAAACAAGGTTCAGAGCTGTATTTCGTCAGTTCTCTGAGTTGTAGTTACCTTTACCACACAGAGCAACACATTATTATTGTTGTTCTATGACATCGAGTCAGGAATAATTCATAACTGATCCTCCAGAGGGTTTTCAAAAGCACTAAATTACATAGAATGAAGATATCCATCCTTCTCCCATAGATCAGCTAATAGATATGAATCTTATATCTTTGGGATTGCAGCACAGTTGTTTTTTTTTTTACATTAGTCTACAAGACCTCATTATAAAACATTACTACAACAAACAAAGATAAATAGAACTACACAATTTCATGGATAGGAAGGCTTAGTGTTGTGAAAATGACAATTATTTGCCAAAAGCAATCTATAGAGTCAAAGCATCAGAATGCATGTTCTGATGCCATTCTTCAAGGAGGTAGAAAAGACAATTTCCAATCTTATTTGAAAAGGAACATCAATTAATCCAAACTCTATTGAAAAATGAAAACAAAGTTCGTGTTACTAGGTCTCATCAAATTGAATAATTCACATTGACCCTTCTAACAATATCTGTTCTATCTTAAACCATCCTATTCATCTGTCTCATACTTGATCTTACTACTGCAGTCACTGGGTCAATCCACTTCACGGAGGGTCTTCCACTGCCTTTTTAACACTCCACTTTTCCAACCATGATGTTTCTTTCCAATAAATTACACCTCCTACGAACATACTCAAAGCATGTGAGGTTGAACTTCACTGTCCTTGCCTCCAAGTAGTACTCTGGTTGCATATTCCCCAAGACACATCTGTTGGTTATTTGTGCAGTCCGTGGAGTGAATACTACTCCAACACCACACATGTGCAAATACAAATTGAACTTGAAGAAAATTAAAATGCGT